TATATATATACAATTGCATGCTGTATACAGAGCCTTGTAAAATTTGTTCAGTCACAGAGACATTATAACTAGCAAAAACATTATAATTAAAATAAATTTAACCGGTGCACTTTATCTATTGCGATTTCTTTCAGCTTAATTAGATCTTCATACCTATTTTTAAAAGAGTTGTCTACTTACATCGGCCTGAAACTGACTTTACGACTTGGTCTTCCAACTCGACCTTTGTAAGGTTTTGAACAACCTACAGCAAACGACATAGCAGTTCAATTTTAGCTGTGTGTTTTCATTTAACTTAAAGTATATGACTAAACATCATCTAGCAAGATTTTGCAATTCGTACAGACAGTAGAGTTGTACGTATCAGTGATTTTGTAATAAGTTTACATTGCTGATTTTTGGGTCCAAAATTTTCATTATAATACGTGAATGTGTTCTATGAAAAGCATCAATTTTATTTCACTATTTAACAGGTAATGCCCAACTGTTTGAGTTAATAAAACACAACAAGGGCATAATATAGCCTTAGTTTTACATTGTAAAGATAAATTCTTATTGCTGGCTCCACGTTGAATAATTACTAAACGCAACTGTTGATAAGACTCGATGTTTAACATCAAAAATATTGTCCAATATTGATCCAAAAATTACACCATTTCTTTGATGTAGGTTCATTTATATCAACATAAACATGAGTAGGCCTATATTATTTTAAGTTTTTGTCGGATAATCAAATTCTATCTATCTATTCTGTCTAAAAGCATCAGTGGCTATGCTATAATCATATTATAAATGGCTGTAATATTAAATATAAAATAACTCTATTGTTTGAACATTATAAATTCTTGAGAAATATCCTTGTATGTGTAGTGTGCAGGTTTGTATGTGTAGTGTGCAGGTGCTAATCGTAATTTTTAATTTGTCAGAAACGAGTATCAATGGCCTAATTATTTTAGGAAGAAGGTAATAGTCTACACTAAAAGAAAAGAAACCACGTTTAATAACGGCGACGATAATAATAATAATAATAATAATAATAATAGTCTACGTAATACGGAAGCGTATTGCTGCCAAAATAATATTGGCAGCAATACGCTTCCGTATTACAACAACAACAACAAAAACAACAACAATAATAATAATAATAATAATAATAATAATAATAATAATAATAATAATAATAATAATAATAATAATCAATATAAATAATAGTCAATTAAAATATTCACGAGAAATTATTTTCTGCACTTTTTGTCTTCATTAATTTGACTACTAGGCGTGTTTATTTATTTAATTTGACAGACAAATGCTGTGATTTTGTTGCGGTCAGTTCCCCCACCCATACCCCTAAAACTTCAACCCGAACGCAAATGAACGTGATAATTTAGAACTGTATTTTCATTCAATCATGATAATTCAGAGTTCGCCCTCATAATACTAACTGAACACCGATACGCGTGACTGTAACATTACGCTGTCGGTGTTACAAGGATTACACTCGATATAATGTGGACAGCATCAGTAGGCCAATGTACATCAGAGTCGCAACGGTCAACCAATTTAAGTACAGGGTAGTCTCGATATTTGGTTCGACGGACACTAAATTTTCTCAAAGGATACTATACTATACTCGGCGATAATTTGCACGATATAATGTGAAAATTTCTAAAGGTTACCTGAACCAG